ATGTTATATTGAATAATAAATTATAATCTGCCAATAAGGATTTAGTCAAACTTACAAAATCCATTCATAACCTATGTATGTAACATTCAAAAAACTCTGTCCTATGTCCATTTATATATTACCGGGTGTTTCTCTGCTTTCAGGTTACTTCCACTCCAAAGTGGTTTTTGAGAAGGCTACAAAGACATTCAATCTCTCAAGTCAAGGATTGAGAGGATACGAGTGAGTAAGTCCAAGGTTGATAAAAATATTAACATTAGCTGTTTGCAGCTGAGATCTCCAAAGTTGTGATCCCAATACAGCTGCTTACAATTGTTCTAGCAAATACCTTTAGGAAATCTCAAGGTGAGTTACGAGTCTGACAATTTTGGGGCTCCACAAGAGCAGACAATTCATCTGGTGGAACAAGTAAAAATGGCGACTTTGAATAGTATGAAACACTATTGCAAGGCGTCAGATTTTAGTTTAAAAACGAGTTAGAAGGTTTATGGATCCTACCTAGGAAAAGCACCAAATGCAGACTCTCGAGGAGTACCTTGGCAATGGTGTTCTCGCGGGAAGCAGTAAGATCTTCACCACAAATGGCTACGACGACGTCCACTCGCTCAAGTCCATGACCAAGAATGATATGAAATCTCTCGGCCTCACTAAACAGCAGCAAGTAAGTACACAAGCATCAACAAAGCTTTACTTGTCCTACCGAATTCGTGATGTCGTTGCAGAATGCCTTGGAGCTGAGAGCTTTCTTAGATGATCACGGGCTCTTCGAGTACGCAGACGCCTTGGAGGCAACTGGAAAGACTTTGGCCGATCTCCGCAGGGGCAGCTCGTCCGTCTTGAGCACACGTTACGGCATGAAGAAGGGACACGCTTCTCGCTTCATGGAACAGGAGAACCCTCTGGGTGATCCGAAATTCACTTCTCGAGGGTGCTGCCTTTTCAATTTCACATATGTGAGCAATCGATAATCTGGGAGCTTGCTAGATATTTAAGAACGAGCGCTTACACTATGCTTCTTAAATTCATCGCCGCTTTTAAAAACATTACGTTTCTCGCCGCTTTGGGCCACTGCGAAGTCGTAAGAGGTGAGATTGGATTGAACTCCCTTATTTTTAATCTAGGCTTGTGTGTCTTGGTTTTCGGTGGGTAATCTTTGGCTAGAAGATTACACTAGTGTTGCTTGGACAATTCTTGCTTATGTGACCTTTCTTCTTGCAAAGGAAACTATCTGCGAACGAAGTGCCCCCTGGGAAACATAAAGAAAATATATTTGTATCATTTTTCTTTCAAAACTAGATAGGACTTGTTTACCTTCCTTGAGAGTTGCAAACAATGAGCTAGTCTGTGTCCACAGGTATAGCAAACTTAGCTGCCTTGTCCTTGACATCCCCAGCCCGGCAATGCTTGAGAGTGTTCGGCATAGAGAAATCGAGTTTTTGTGAGATGAACTGAAAGAATTTGCTAACCTTCTTGACACTGTTTTCTTCGGACACGTCTTCGCATTGTGGTCCTTTCCCTTGCAAATGTAACGTCCTTCCCCAGGCTTCATTCCAGGAACTCGAAGAGGCAACTTCTTTGGTTTGCTGTTTGGACTTTGCGACTGGCATGGGTTCCTCTTGGGCTTCATCGGAATCGATGCCTCTTGCTCAGCATATAAACCCTAAAAATCGTACGGCTTATTATGCGAATTCTTCTGAGCTGCTCCACTCCAAACAATATCGGCTTCCAAATCGTCTTGCTTCACCAGCAACTCTCCCGACGAGTACCTATGAATTCGTTTACATTGCATAAAACTTCACGAAAAGACCAGCAGCACTAACTCCAGCATTTTGAACAAGTGCTATGTCATCTGGTGTGGAGAGTCCAGACTCTGCAACAATCTGAAACGATCATTAGAACAAACTTAAGAATGAGAATGACACATACAAGAATCTGTTTCCCCCAAATGATTTCGCTCCTCACTCACTAAGTGGATGTGTAGAGCTGCTGTGGCTCCATCGCAAAAACAAGCACACACAAACTTGTATGGAACAGTGGATGAACCAAATGGGCTTGTAGATCAAACAAAGGTGGTCTCTTTGCTTGAGGTGATCTTTCTGGGAGACTTGTTTGACAGGGGAATAACGCGGGTATAAAAGCTCCAAGAATTCCATGCGTAGGGGTATTAGCTCAAAGAGCTTCCTTTCCTAGTCTTGAGTGAGCATATAACTTGTTTGTGGCGCCAATGTCTTCGCTAGTGATCTTCTTCTTGCTATTGTTGTGGTAAGAGTTTTTGCCACAGACCCGGATTACGCTGCTGATTCTGCATCCACGAACGCGAGCTTCTTCACTGTCACTGGCTTTCACAGCGAACTCAGCCCTCCAGCAGGAGCTTTCATGGTGCAGAAGGCATCACTCGCAGAATTCGCAGCTCTGGGTGGTCTCGGCATCTCCGTGGCCAGGCTCTTCTTCCAGTCAAGCTCAGTCAATCCGGGAGCATTTTGCAACACTGGTTCCGAGTGAGCACGATCATTATGAAAAAGAGCTAGAAAATGGGAGCATCACCGTTTCTGGGATCGAACTCGGATGGCCCACATGACAGGCAGAAATATTTACCAGTATACTACTACAACAATGACAATGGTGAAGAGGTTTAGCTTTCCTCAATTATTATATTTCCTTTCATAAAAACGTTGATCAAATGTTGACTAACACATTGACTCGAGATAAAACAGATTGCATTATAGAGAAATATTGATCGTGTAGAAATATCTGCCTGTAAAACATAAAATGAGCTGGGAGAACTCATAGTTGCGTTGCAAAAGCAAGTTAATGAAGAGACATTAGTTGTTTCTGGCTTTGATAAATAAGTTTCGTTCATGACAAACTTGACTAGCTAGAGGAGCCGTTAATTTTCAACAAATGCGAATATGCTTAAACCGGCAAATGAAATTGGCAGGCTTGAAACTGAAAGCGCTTGGAAGGGAAAATTTCTTGTCCAGGCTCTTAGGGGCAGCAGAGTAAAAACACTCGATTTTCCCGCACTTCCAGACCAAAAACAAAATCAGGAGACACAAGCCAGTACTTCTTCGCAATTTTTCTTGGCAGCTTTTTATGCTGTGAGGGCATTCTTGAGCGTCTGGATGGTGCCACTGCTCCCCTTGAATGATCTGATCGTCGATGCCCAACACAAGGATGGTGGCGGGGATGGAAACGGTGCCAGCATTGGAGCCCAAACACCGAGATGGCCTTTGCCGCATACTGTCCATCATTGAATTGGAAGTGGACGAATATGTTGCCCATCTCGAGCTTCTGGACGAAGAGCTTGTTGGTGGTGTCCACCAGGCCAACGGTGAGCGAGCCCTCTAACAAATAGAGGAGCTCTAAGGCCTGGGGATGGATGTGTGGGGGATTGACCGAGCCTGACTAGAAGAAGATGAAAGCTCCTGACGCAGCTGTGACATTGCCGCGAAAGGCAGTGAAAGTGAAGAAGCTCGCGTTGGTGGTGGCGGGATTAGCAGCGTAATCCGAGACAGCTCTGGGTCCACAGCAAAAACTCCTGCCATGACAACAGCTGACAAGAATCTTAAGACATTTGTGCCGCAAAGTAATTGAGAAACTTGGATAATTACTATTATTCTCCTAGTAATGGAATTCGTGGAGCTTATATACCTGGACGATCTTCTAGCAAGTCCTCTGGCAAACAAGTCTCCCAGAAAGATCAACTCAAGCAAAGCAATCACTGCTGTTTGGTTTACAAGCTCATTGTTCCATATGAGTTTGTGTGTTTTTTAAAAATTATTTTTCTTGCAATGGAGCCACACCATAGCTCCAAGCTAACTAACACTCTCTCCCACACAGATTTACCCAGCTCTTCACATCCACACAGCAATTGCCAGAAGAGACGCTAGGAGAACACAAGCAGCTCGTGTTGTAACTCACCACTAAAGTGCCACAGCAGCTCTGGAGGAGGCGGCCAACCAACTGGAATGCAGGCCACAGATCGGTCGTCGAACCAATTACGCGTGGTAGCGGCTCGAGCGCGCCAAGTAAGCCATTGGAGCACCGCGTTGCCAGGTCGACGATCTCGGCCTTGTTGCAGTCCCTCCCTTGCGCATCCGCAAGGAGAACAGCCAAGCCTGTGACGAGAAGGATGGAGAACACACTCTTCATCTCCAAACTCTAGGCACTGCGATGCGATGCCAACAAGTGAAAGAAGAAATGAGAAAAGAGGGGAGAAGCTTATCTCTGTGAAGTGAAGTAATGGTGCTTCTCGGACATGTGTCACGCAGAGCGCTCCAAGTGTTCGTCAATTCCTGGGTGGAACTATAGAAAAGGAAGAAAAAATGTGAATGCTCAGAGAGTGCGCGCCAACTGTTCTGGCAGGAACAATAAGAAAGGAAGAAAAAAATGTGGATGCTCAAACTGAGTGAGAGAGAGAGAGAGAGAGAGAGATGGTGATGATGATGATGTTGAGGACGATGGTGGTGGTGGTGGTGGTGGCTGCGGCGCTGTTAAGCTGTGGGTATGCCCGTGCCGCAAGGTGTGATGGTAAGAGTGTCTCGGCCGAGGCTTCTGGATGCTCCAAGAGGATTGTCAAGGCACTGCACTCGCTTTCGTCCCAAAACCAGCGAGAGGTTTTCGGGAGCTTGAGGAGCGGCGTGTTGAACGAGTGCTGCTCGAGCCTCTTGCGATTTCCTCTGCCATGCCTGTGCAGCCAAGAGCTCCAGAAGGGCTGCGTCAATGTAACCAAGTTCGTGCCACTCTGTGGAAAATCCTGTCACTAGCTTTCACTTTGGCCCGTTCAAAATAAAATAGGAACGAGTTTATTCGGCGTACTTGCATTCCAAAGTGAAGGATTTTGAGAAGGCTACGAAGTCATCCAATCTCTCAAGTCGAGGATTGAGAGGGATAACGAGCAAGTAAGTCCAAGGTTGACAACAACTCGCAAATACCTTTAAGAAATCTCAAGGTGAGCTAAGCACTACAAGCGACTTTGAAGAGTATGAAACACTGTTGCCAAGGCGTCAGATTAGAGTTTAAAAACGAGTCAGGAGGTTCACGGATAAGCACGAAATGCAGACTCTCGAGGAGTACCTTGGCAACGGTGTTCTCGCGGGAAGCAGTAAGGTCTTCACCACAAATGGCTACGACGACGTCCACTCGCTCAAGTCCATGACCAAGAACGATATGAAATCTCTCGGCCTCACTAAACAGCAGCAAGTAAGTACAAAGCATCAACTTGGCCTACCCAATTCACGATGTCGTTGCAGAATGCCTTGGAGCTGAGAGCTTTCTTAGATGATCGCGGGCTTTTCCAGTACGCAGACGCCTTGGAGGCAACTGGAAAGACTTTGGCCGATCTCCGCAGGGGCAGCTCGTCCGTCTTGAGCACCCGTTACGGCATGAAGAAGGGACACGCTGCTCGCTTCATGGAACAGGAGAACCCTCTCGAAAATCGAACCTCCATTCGAGGGTGCTGCTTTTTCACGTTCACATGTGTGTGCAGTTGAGGGCGCTTAGCACGGGATGTGAAGAGTTCCCAGTTAGTAATCTGGGAGCTTGTTAGATATTTAAGAACGAACGCTTACACTATGCTTCTAGTTCTCCAAAGTCGTCCTCTAGATCATCGCCGCTTTTAAAAACAGTACGCTTCTCGCCGCTTTGGGCCACATCCTTGCCTGCAAAGTCGTAAAAGGTGAGTTTGGATTGGATCTAAACTGCACTCAGTACTCACTTATTTTTAATCTAGGCTTCTGTGCCTTGGTTTTCGTCGGGCAATCCCTGGCTAGATGAGTGACCTCGCCGCATAACTTGCAGCATCCACCCTGGAACAGTCCCAGTGAAGTCTGTCCCGAACTTAAGCAGCATTCACGTACCTTTGGATAGATTCCACGAGTGTTGCTTGGACAATTCTTGCTTATGTGACCTTTCTTCTTGCAGAGGAAACAATCTGCGAACGAAGTACCCCCTGGGAAACATAACGAAAATACATTTGTATAGTTTTTCTTTCAAAACTAGGTAGGACTTGTTTACCTTCCTTGAGAGGTTGCGAACAATGAGCTAATCTGTGTCCTGTTTCACCACAGTTATAGCAAAACTTAGCTTCCTTGTCCTTGACATCTCCAGCCGGGCAATGCTTGAGAGTGTGCCCACGCTCTCGGCATAGAAGACACACCTGAAAAATCGAGTTTTTGTGAAATGAACTGAAACAATTTGCTTACCTTCTTGCTTTCAGACTCTGTTTTCTTCGGACACGTCTTCGCAATGTGGTCCTTTCCCTTGCAAATGTAACATCCTTCCCCAGGCTTCATTCCAGGAACTCGAAGAGGATGCGTCTTCAACTTCTTTGGTTTCTTCTTGAGCTGCTGTTTGGACTTTGCTGCGGCTGGCACCACCTTCTTGGGTTCCTCCTCTGAAACTTGGGCTTCATCGGAATCGCCATGAAAGCGCTTCTTTGCAAGCCTCTGCCTCTTGCTCACCATCTCGAGCAGAGCATAAACCCTAAAGCGGAAAATCGTTCCAAACTTCCGATCGTTTGCTTATTATACGAAGATTGTTTCATTCTTCTGAGCTGCTCTACTGACATCCTTTCCAAAAAGGCTTGCAATACCAGCTGCCGGATCGTCTTGCTTCACCAGCGACTCTCCGACGAGTACCTGCGAATTTGTTTACATTGCATAGGACTTCACAAAAATACCGCAACACTTACCGCACTAACTCCAGCATTTTGAACAAGCGCTATGTCGTCCGGTGTGGAGAGTCCGGACTCAGCAACAACCTGCCCAAACGATCATTAGAATAAACTCAAGCACGAGAATAAAACAATACAAGAATCTCTTTCTCCCGAATGATTCCGCTCCTCACTCCTTGTAGCAAACTCTCAGTGTTCGTGATGTCAACCTCGAAATTTTCTACGCGAACTCCATTAAGTTTCGAATAGAACATTGAACCCGACTCACCTAAGTTCCTGTTGTTTATCCCAATCATTTGTATCCCTGGAAGACGTAGCACACGATCCATTTCCACTGCATTGTGAACCTGAAATGTACAATCCATATAATCCATATGAGAACCATGCAAAAGGATAGGAGTGCTTATACCTCAACAAGTGCAGCCATCTTGAGAGCTTTCGTAATTTTTGTCATGTATAATAGATCCTGATCCGGAAGCACAGCAGCAATCAAAAGAACGGCATCAGCACCTTTAATTCGAGCATAGTAGAGTTGCCAGGCATCAATAATGAATTCCTTGCACAGCAACGGGCACTGCAACAGCACATCATACATGTCAACTGGAAAAGTCAAGCTCGTTTGATACCTGAACCCCGGCTTCACGAATGGCCTTCAAGTTCTCAAAGCTCCCCTGAAAAACCATAGTTTTGAGAGACAAACAAAACCACGTCTAAGAACTTGCCTGGAAATATTTGGTGTCCGTCAAAACGCTGAGACATGCCGCTCCACCTCTCTCATATCCTCTTGCAATACGCACCTGCGACACAAAACTGGAAACCATCTATCACACACGCTTGCTCACAGCTCCGCAACCTTACCGGATCAAAGTCGGGCTGGATGACTCCTTTGCTCGGGGATGCCTTCTTCACTTCGGCAATAAGTCCTGGCAATCCCGTCTCAGCCTTCCTCGCCTTTAGAGCACCTATAAAGTCCCGCGGAGGATCAACAGCTGGTAAAGCTTTATGCAAAGCACCCAACGGCGTCTTCTCCTTCATCTACATCCAGTAAAGAGAAAACGACCATTGAAAGAAAAAGAATAGAATACCTCTGTGACCTCTCGCTCTGTGTTCCACACAATCTCTTCGAGGATGTTTCGAGGAGTATTTCCTTCGTTCTGGAGTTTAAAATCAAACGGCCCGCAAGCGTGAGTCGGAGGTCCAGTCGGGGGCCGCCGACGAATCGAAATACCCTGCTTGGAAATAATCTCTTCCTGGATTCGCTTCTCCTCCCACCCTTTCCACTCTGCCGGGGTCTCAGGCATGGTGCTTGGCGGAGCAAAGACCGCCTTCTCCTTGGCAGAATCCTCGTCGGGCTGGAAAGACAGAAGAGTATCGCTCCAGACATCGCTGCAAATCCAAGAACATACCCGATTCGTGGCGCGCATGGAGACGCCGGAGCTGGAATTTCGCGATGGCGCCCCAAATCCGGACCCGATGCTCCAGCCGCTACTCGCCCCGGGGCGCAAGAATGCCGTCATCGCGTGGAGAAGTCCTGGCCTAGGGCTTTACCTCCATTCTCAACTTTAAATTTCACTCAAAGTTATGAATTGTTCATCATAATTAACTTACATTTTGTGTTAAAAGATAAAATAACAGTGAATTTTGCAATCTCGGATAGAACAGCATGCATGCACAACGGAATCCACAATTGGACGAGATGAAAAACAAGGAAGAGCTCTCTAGACAGCAATTTTTTCAAATGTCTAGTAGGGAGCCTTGATCTTGCAAAGGCTAGTTAATAATTAAAATGCCTCCTATTATTATTAATATTATTATTGTTTTCCAACTCTAGATGTATCTCTAGATGGAGTCATACATCGACGCGAAATCTAGCCCAACTAAAAACCCGTCTTTCTAAAAATTTATACTCACGAGACAAAAGGGTAGCGCCAGCAATTTCCATAGAAGTTGCAATTGCGTAAGCAACTTTGTTCCGTACACTTACCTCCTGCCGTATAGTATAAATGGCAATCTTCAAGCATCCATATGAGCAAAATGAATTTAGCAACGTATTTCATTCGAAAGGTCAATATGGCGAGAGCTTTGGTTTTCATTGCGCTTCTATGCTTTGTGCTTGCCCAGTCCCCTTCCAAGGTGGATGCAACCAATTATCTTGGGTACTCGGGTGGCAATTGTGCAGGCGACTATCAATTCATCAGTTGTACCAACCTGTTTTCTGGTTTTCGGGACGGGTATCGTGTGGAATATGATGGAAGAAATCCGGCCAGGTTTTACACCACCGTGAATTGCCACAAGAGACACCAATGCTTGGAACTCGGGTTTCGGCGCAAAGTGTCCGTATCGGCTGAAGTGTTAAGGCAGCCCATCTAGAGGCATAAGACTAAACACCTGATGAAGTTTATACTTGTGAATCGGCCTTTGTGTAAAACCAAGCTGAGCTGTTTGATCTGTTTCGGTGCAGCTGCTGACTGAGTGCTGCAGATCATCTTGTTCTGAGGATGAAACAAGCCCTTTGCTTCCTTTGCTGATATTGTGCATTTGGCCATCCATTGGAGATGTGAATGCCAGCAGTCTGAGAATCAAGCCTTCCAAAATTTCTTTGCCTCTATCTTTCCAGGACAATATTAGAGAGCTCTTACAGCCATAGTGCAAAGTTTCATGGACCTCAGGTAGTTAGTCTCGTTCATATCAGTTTCTACTCACATCAGTAGGTATTTGTTGATAGGGTAAGTTATGCAAATGGATCAATCAGAACTAGATGATGTTGCAGCAGCCTATGCAGTTAGTGCCATGAGATATCCTCACTGATGTCTCACGGAGCTCCCCGTCTGAAAGGAGGAAATTCCGAAAGTCCGAAAAGTTACAAATAATTAGATACAATTTGGCTTCACCAACTGCATTGATGTCTTTTTGACAAGAATTCAAACAGGATGAGAATGAAAAGTGTCTTGAGATTTGTTCCGATTCTGTGGAATAACGTAAGAACTGAGTTTCGAATAAAGGATACGTTCTCTTTTCCAAAATCGGGGTGACTAAAAAAAATCAGCCTTCAGAATAAGTGCAATCGATCACGAAGGGCTTAGTCAAGGCGATAAACTCTTGAGTGTTGATGCCAAGCTTAAGATCAACATCGCCACCACCCAGCCAAAAGAAATCGGGTTTTAGATTGGCAATCGCATCGGACAAAATCACCTGTGAGATAAAAATCGTGAGAACCTGAAGCATCTTTTGGAAAACTTACAGGAATGTCTGTTCGCATACCAATCGGCGTAACAGCATTGTGCTCGTATCCGGACAATCTCTGAGACTCTTCCTCTGGTGCAAGCCGCACTGAAAAACAGAGAAAACCAGTTCCAATCGTACACGGATTTTCATACGAGAAAAGCTTACAGTTAAATCTCTTCTTTGGTATTTTTCCTTCGTTGAGATCGTAGATAAACTTCTTCACTTTCTCGGCGTTCAGACGAGCATTGTACTGCAAGATTGAAAAGTTGAAGAGAAAAAATTGAAAAGGTAGAAAAGGTGCTACCTGGACAACTATGACGTAGTATTTAGAATTTTTCCGATCGCTACAATCCGTGATGTGTGATGGAGCCTGGGTGTTTACCTGCGAATGCAATGGAAAATGGATCAAAGAACAAATAGAAAATGCCGCCATCGGCACATACCATCACCATACTCTTGCAAAGATGATCGATCGAAGCCGCTCCAAGCACCTCCTTCCTCTCTTCGAGCGTTTTCTCATAGTAATCCGCAGGGACTCTCTTGAAGTGAAACGAGCTAACACCGGCATTGCTCAAAATCCCTCTCAGCTTCTGCTCCACATCTGGCTTGGAGATTTCATTACACTTCTGCTCAGGCGCTCGCTCGTCGTCGCTGCTTGTCGTGAATGCGTCGCTGATACTCACAGATTTGAGGCCTTCGTGGATTGGAAAATCCTCTCTCGTCATGGAGCTTCGCTGCCGGCGAATCGTCGCTCCTCCGGGAGCCCTAGCTGTGCTTCGCCCTAAAACTCTCGCGCCCAAAGCAATGTCAAAAAGAAAGCACGCCATAAAGAAGGACACGCGTCGAAATGTTAAGGCACATATCCGACGGTTATCACAGTCACACGTGTTGCGATCCTGACAATCGGGAGGCATTTTGTAAGAGCTATCTACTTAATCCATCCTTCTTCGTGTTAGCTAGGGCTCGGCGACTAGCAAGATCGTTTCCACGGCAAGAAATCTCTCGATCGAGGTCTAATCCCTCTTCTTGATGCCAGATTCTTGTGATTTCTCCCTGGAATCGCTGAGAGATGCACGAGAGATGAGATTCTAGCCGCATCGCACGAATGGAGCATGAAATTTCTCGTGGAAATGAGCTATAATCTTCTCATGGATGTAGAATGCAGAGCGTCGCGGGAGCTCTTCGTGCCCAGGGGAGGGTCGCGCAGCAAGGGATTCTCAAGCATCTTCGCGTGGCGGCCACGAATGATCGGTTCCAGCTCCCTCGCTGGGAATCCTCTGTCGCCAAACCGTCAAGCTTGGAAGAGCATGGCTTCGAGAGCACGACCATCGAAGATATCTTGAAAGCAAAGGGGAAGAGCGCCGATGGATCGTGGCTCTTTTGTTCCACCGACGACACTGTGTACGAGGCCGTGAGATCTGTGAGTAGTTTTTTCTTTTGGGGCTTTCTTTCTCTCGATTTCTAAAACACAGTATGATGTTACTTCATAGATGACAACTCACAATGTGGGAGCGCTCTTGGTGGTCAAGAAGGGCGAGAAGGGAGCCATCGCTGGAATTATCACCGAGAGAGGTCAGTAGTTTCTCATGCCAGCGGCAAAGTTTAGTCACGGGCTTTTTTCTCTTTTTTCCTCAGACTATCTCCGGAAGATCATAGTCCAGGGGCGTTCTTCCAAAACAACCAAAGTTGGGGATATCATGACTGAAGAGGTGGGTATCTATCGCAGACTCGCAGTAACTCACGTAAAATTCGCTCTCTTTCAGAACAAGCTCATTACTGTCACACCCTCCACTCGAGTTCTCCAGGCAATGGAGCTCATGACTGGTAACTTCGTCATCTTAGATTCCATTTGAGCCATTTTGATGTTCTTTCTTCTCGGTTTACCAGAGAAGCGCATCAGGCACATCCCCGTTGTCAAGGACAAGAAAATGCTGGGAATGGTATCGATCGGTGACGTTGTCCGCGCTGTTGTGGACGAGCACCGCGAAGAACTCAAGCGGCTCAACTCGTTTATCCAGGGCGGATACTGTAAGTCGCCGATCCCATTGATTCCTTTGTCTCTCATCTTTGATTTTAATTCTTTTGATATTCTTTCCGAGGATAAGTCCGAGCTTACGTGATGTGGGCCGTGCGTTGTTTCAGGAACTTTGAGAGAAGTCTTTGTTTTGGACGAGATGATGACGACGATAAAGGAAATGCCAAGTGGCAGGGTATCTGCCACGTCGGACCTTAGATGCTTTAAGAATCAATGCGCTTCTCTTCTTTTCTAGGGTTCTTAGCTAGGGTTTTGCGCAGCCGCGGCGGCTAGACTAGAGGAAGTGTGCGCCACTTACCAATTTCAGGGGCTCTCTCTATACCCTGTGATCTAATGGCTTTGGCGCTAGATCAACCATGGCCATTCTGGTTGATGGGATTGTTAGTTCTCATCAACCCGGGAAACTCCATGAACATTTTCTTCTTGTTTGATACTTTTTCTCGAGTGAGTTTTGCCCAACATTGATCTTGGGCTTTTAGATCCGACAGAGACTTTCACCGCAATGCGTGGAGGACGAGTGCAGTGTGTTCGATGCAATAGCCACGGAGACGCCCCGTTTCCAAGGCGTGTGCGAATGCCAGCTTGAATTCCTTGGTGCTAGAAAACTTTTCAACCAGGACTTGATCGCCGCTCTCAAGAACACCCGCGTAGATCCTGCTGTCCAGGTGCTGGGCGATGATGGAGGAGAAATCCTTCGTGATTGTGGCTATGGATTCGACCTGGAACTCCGCCAGCCGATTGTGCTGCGGGAATGATCTCACAAAGCTTGTGAGCTTTTGAAAGTAAATGCACCGACAGATGAATGCCATGATCGCAATTGCTGAGAACGAAATGCCGACGATAATTACTACTTCCGACATCATGGGCGCTCTTGCAACTTTTGCTGGATGCTTGGAAGCTCTTCTAGCTCTTTATATTTCTGGTCGATCCAGAAACAGTTTGTGACTAAATGTTGCCGCCGTTTGGGCGAAGAACAGGGAATCTAGAAATTTGACTTTGCTGGTTGTAACCTGTTTCTAAATGGCGGGAGAGAGAGGTTGCGCTGTTAGACTCCATGGGATGGCCGGAGTTCCATGCTTGCCATGGTGTCTACGTTAAAATACGTAAGGGAACTATTGCTAACTCGTGCCGGAGAGAGATTTCTCATTACATTGATAGTTATATTGGAAGCGATGGAACAAACAAATGCAACAAAATACAAAGGACAAATTATTGACTGAGAGATTGAAGACAGGATACTCTCTGGATATCCATAGGAGAGAGGTTTGCCAGCATCAAATTTTAACAAGGGAGCCCACTTTCACAAGCAAATACAATGGATATTTCTTAGAAATAACACGCTTTATCAGAAGAACAAGCTTCGCTCAAGAACACTGTTGGAAAAACTTTCACTGCTGCGGTGAATTAAGAACGATCGCGCTGTATCGAATGCAGTAGCCGCGGAGACGCCCCGAATTGCAAGCTTCTGTAAACGCGCGCTTGAATTCCCCGTTACCAGAGCATTTCTGGACCAGGACTTGTTCCCCGCTCTCGAGAACACCTATGTAGATCGTGCTGCCCAGCTGCTGGCGGTGGATTGACGTGAAACCCTTTGTGATCCGGAGGATGGATTCGTCCTGGAACTCGGCCAGGTGATCTTGGGTTTCCTGCGGGAATGATCTCACAAATTGGTAGAGATTTTCCATGAAAATGCAGCGAAAGATAGCCAGCGCAATCAAAAACACGGTTAATCCCAGGAAGAACCAAAACACAAGCATTCTCTCCATGGGATGTAGACTTTTGTGTGTCATGTATTTTGGTGTTTGTCGCGGCTTATGTTAGATTATAAACAATACCGGCACTTAGGGTTTGTCGACGTGTATGAAATCTCCACCGTTTATCTTGTTTTAGGGTTCTTGGAGGCATTAGGGTTTTGCAGAGCCGGAGGAGCAGCAGCCAAGATGCAGATCTTTGTGAAGACGCTCACGGGCAAGACCATCACGCTCGAGGTCGAGAGCAGCGATACCATCGACAATGTCAAGACGAAGATCCAGGACAAGGAAGGTGTGTGGATTTCTTGGGAGATTGGATTTTGATGGGCGGCTTTCTCTTCATTTCCAGGCATTCCTCCGGATCAGCAGCGGCTCATTTTCGCCGGCAAGCAGCTGGAAGATGGCCGCACGCTCGCGGATTACAACATCCAAAAGGGTAGAAAGCGTGTTTTGGGGCTTTTCTTTCTCGCTGGCTCTGATTGAGTTTTTGCGTTTTTTTGCCAGAGTCTACGCTCCATCTCGTGCTTCGCCTCCGCGGAGGAATCATCGAGCCTTCGTTGATGGCTCTGGCGAGGAAGTATAACCAGGAGAAGATGATCTGCCGGAAGTAAGTGATTTTTCTTCGATTTCCAAGCGCGTGGAGTTCCTGATTTCTTTCTTCGCAGGTGCTACGCAAGGCTTCATCCTCGGGCTGTGAACTGCCGGAAGAAGAAATGTGGCCACTCCAACCAGGTAAAGCGTTTTTTTTTGCGAGGATTCCCTTCTTTGTATGCTGTAGCTGAGATTTTGGTGTTTCTTTGTTTGATCGCAGCTGCGTCCCAAGAAGAAGATCAAATAGAGAGACTACCAATGTAGAAGGAAAATTTTCTCTCGAAGGGAAAATTCAATCAATCGAAGCATTCTATAAGCCCATTGTGTTGTTCTAAAACCCTTGTTAAAACCCTCTGTGTAAGCTCTAGGGTGCGTGGCGGCGATGGGCGAGACGACGCATCCTCCCACAATGGTACTCGTGGAGCATCACGCCGGGCACCACCATCTCCACGAAGCCGCGAGGTAAAGAAAGAGCAAACTTGCGCGTGATTCTTGTGAACGATGATGAGATGATCGCTTGACACAGGGCGAGCAGTAGATTCCTTGTGTCGGCATCGACGTGCGTGAAGATCGCGGTGGTCAGCTTCGGGATTGGCGTGATCGTGGGCTTCAATCTAAACAAGCGCGTCCGTAAATTCGCGTCGCGGATGCTCAAGCGCCTCAAGGAGCCCTAAAAAAATGTCCATGTGTTAAAGGAGTTCGAATCTTTAGAGAATATGCGGTATTTTTGTCCCATTGCGATCAGGTTTAGGGTTTATCGTCTAGTAGCGAGGGAATGGCGACCGCTGCTGCAGCCGCCGCGGGAGGAATCAGTCTCGTCCTGGGAAATGCCGGCTGCGGGAGGAGGGATTCGGCAGTGGCGATGCAGCGCCGGATCATCTCGTCGGCTTTGAGGCTCCAGCGGGGGAAGATTGTGGCGTCGCCCAGGGCAAGACATGCGATTGCGGCTGTTTCGACTGAGGTGCAAGCTGAGGCCGCCGGTGCCGAGCCAGAAGAGGGGCTCAACATCGCGGAAGATGTGACGCAGGTAAGAGTTTCGCTGGAAAAAGGAGGAAAGAAGGATTTTTTTGTTCCTTGGGGGTTTGTCTTTGTAGCTTATCGGAAAGACGCCGATGGTTTATTTGAACAGCGTTGTCGATGGCTGTGTTGCCAACATCGCTGCGAAGCTGGAAATCATGGAGCCGTGCTGCAGCGTCAAAGATCGGTATGGATTTTGATGAAAGAAACCGATCGCTTACTTTGTTTTGCTACATTCAGGATCGGATATAGCATGATCTCTGATGCTGAGGAGAAGGGGGCCATAACTCCTGGCAAGGTAAGCCTTGCTGCTTTTTTTCGCGTGCTCTACTCATGAGCCTCTGTGCCATGCAGAGTGTTCTGGTTGAACCTACGAGTGGTAATACTGGAATCGGACTGGCCTTCATTGCCGCGGCGAAAAACTATAAGCTGATCCTAACAATGCCTGCATCCATGAGTCTCGAGAGGCGCATTCTACTAAAGGCCTTTGGTGCCGAGCTTGTCCTCACCGATCCCGCGAAAGGCATGAAAGGAGCAGTACAGAAAGCCGAGGAGATATTGAAGAAGACTCCAAATTCTTACATGCTCCAACAATTTGAAAACCCCGCAAATCCCAAGGTGCGTTAGTTGTCTCTTTATCCGAGTTTAACACTCCTTTTACGTTTCAGGTGCATTTTGAAACCACTGGACCTGAAATCTGGGAAGACACACGAGGCAAAGTTGACATTCTTGTAGCTGGAATAGGAACTGGCGGTACCGTGACTGGTGCTGGACGGTTCCTCAAAAAGAAAAATCCGAACATCAAGGTAGTGGTGGTTCTGGGTGGTCTGCTTTTCCAGCTTACAGTTGTCTTGTACAGATTTACGGTGTTGAGCCCACAGAGAGTAACGTGCTCTCCGGCGGAAAGCCAGGTATGCTTGTATTGGCTTACGTTGAATTGCTCATAGAAAGTGGTGGTCTTGTCAGGTCCGCATAAGATTCAGGGTATTGGTGCGGGATTCATTCCAAGCATTCTAGACGTAGAAATCCTTGACGAAGTCATTCAGGTACTCTTAAATGCAAAGCTTAAAAAAACGATAGTTTTGGTGATGCTTTGTAGGTTTCAAGTAACGATTCTGTAGAAATGGCAAAGCAGCTGGCGTTGAAGGAAGGCCTGCTGGTACTAATTCTTACAAAATGGGATTGCAAAGCTCTAATCTCTCTTTGTAACGGCACCAGGTGGGAATCTCGTCAGGAGCTGCTGTGTGTGCCGCCATTCAGGTGGCAAAGCGACCAGAGAATGCAAACAAGCTGATCTGTGTAAGTGCGATAGTGTGTTCCACGTTAGTCATGGCAAGACCTGATGAGCTTATCTGCTGCAGGTGGTTCTTCCTAGCTTCGGCGAGCGCTACTTATCGTCCGTTCTGTTTCAATCTATCAGAGAAGAGTCCGAAAAAATGCAACCAGAAGCTTGAGGTCTTTGTTGTTCATTTTTTGTTTCATCAAGTGAATATGAAGGTGCGTTTGTAGTCTTGTACATTCTGATTTGTCTCCACCTTCAACACCGGGAGGCCTTTTTTACGAGCAGTGTGCTATAACATGGCCAAGAGAGAGCCAGACAAGAATCCTATTGTGGAAAATTCCAGGGGTAATGGTAACTCTTTACCAGCTTTTCTAGAAAAGATCGAGATGAAGCTGGGCGGTAAGTCCGTGCTGCTTATTTCTAATCAGTGCTACTTTCATGTTTGCATATGAACAGGTTCTACGTTGGCCTGAATGATAAAACAGAACGAGGACGACTGCAAGACAAATGCGCAGTATCTGACAGCAAACCATGTCTCTTTGTCTTTGGAGTGATCAAGGCGGTCACACACCGGCGATGATTGACTAAAATATGGAAGAAGGTACCCATGGCTGGTATGTAAGTTCGAGCGAGGTTGGTCTTGACACGAGTTTTAAATATTTTTGCTTACATATTTGCCGTGTCTTGACTGATTCGCTGGCGTGTTTTTACTCTGATAGGGATCGAGACTGGGACCACTCTGGAGAATGGCTTGCGAGCAGTCCTGAAAGGAGGAAAGCACTGAATTCAGAAGCGTGAACGACGGAGCGAGAATTCTCGAAAAGTCGGGTTCAATACGATGAATGATGGCTCTTCGAGTGAAATTTAGCAGCTCGTCGTCTCGCAAATTGTTGCTATCGTCGGAAGGAGGTGCATCGTTCCTCCTTACTTGCTGCATTTTTTTCTGTATGTCCGCGAGCTTTGGGACTTACTGGGCATTCTCTTCCTCCTACAGACTCCACCCGATCAAGTTTCTCACGTTTCCGGAGCAACACAAGAGTTCCAGTGCTTTTTTCGAGGAAGTCACAAACAGGGACAGAGCACGGCATCCTTTTAGCCGGGGCGATCATCACGAATTTCCAGATGGCCAGGACTTGCACTCGTGTCAGGGGAGGCGGGTGTTCATGTACGAGCTTCCTCGCAAATTCAACTTGGAAGTCCTGGAAAAATGCGACAAGATGGTCTCCTGGCTTACGTTCTGCGACCACTTCATCAACCATGGCTTCGGGAAGGCGCTGGCTGGAGCAAATTCTTCGTGGTACGCCACCGATCCTTACATGCTGGAGGTGATCTTCCACGAGAGGATGCGCAGGTACAGGTGCCTTGTGAATTCTCCCCGTGAGGCCGATGCGTTCTTCATCCCTTACTACGCAGGACTGGACGCTCTCAGGTTCCTTTACGGGGCGGACAACTTGAACAGGCACGAGCAAGGGGTCGATCTCGTCAAGTTTCTGGAGGCAAACTATAGCTGGAGCTGGAGAAGAAATCTCGGCCACGACCACTTCATGGTAACAGGAAGAACAGCTTGGGACTTTGCTAGCTACCGCGGAAAGTCTTCGTGGGGGACTAGTCTTCGGCTGCTCAAGCAGATGGAAAACGTGACGACTTTGGTGATGGAACGACGTCCCTGGGATCGGACAGAGCAGGCAATACCGTATCCAACTTCCTTTCACCCGGCAACCAAGTCGGAGCTACAGGCATGGATCGAGAGAGTCAAGGCAAGCCCGAGAACCAACTTCATGTCCTTCGCCGGAGCTCCGCGGCCTCAGCAAAACGAGAGCATCCGGGGGATCCTGTTTGAGCAGTGTCGCAAGTCCCGGAGCTGCGAGGCCGTGAATTGCTCGAAGCTGAGGTGTGCTCACAATCCTCTCCCGATCGCCGAGAAGCTGCTGTCCTCGATCTTTTGCCTCCAGCCGCAGGGAGACACTTCCACGCGGAGGTCGAGCTTCGACTCGCTGGTTTGCGGCTGCATTCCCGTCTTCTTCCACGCCGACTCGGCCTACACACAGTATACTTGGCATCTCCCTCGCGAGCGCGAGAGCTACTCGGTGTTCATTCCCGAGGAAGAGATCCGCCGGGATGGGCTGGAGGTGGAGGAGTTTCTGAGGAGCAAGTTTAGCAGCCAGAGGATTGGAGAGCTCCAGAGGAACATCCGGAAGATCATCCCGCGGCTGCTCTATACTGGGAAGCCATGGAGCTCTGGCGATGGTGGTCGGGATTCTCTCGATGGGGAGGACGACGCTTTCGACGTGAGCGTGAAAGAAATGGTGGAGAAGTCGCAAAGGACCCAATTTTCCAGTACTTGATCATTTGTTTTTGTTTTGCATGTCTCCTTAAAGAATCTCAACGGCCACGATTGTTTTCCAAGATTTGCATCCGACGGTCGGCATTTGTTCAAGATGAAAATGGGGTATATTCGCTGAGCATCTTGATGAGCCCTAATTTGGCAGGGAGCGTTTTGATCTGATCCGATCCATGCGCGAGAGGAATGATGCGCCTCCGAGAATGGGGCACCGCATTTGGACGTGGCTGATGATCCGGTATTGATCGAGGTAAAACAAGCAGCCTAGGGCTCTTCCAATCGAGCGATCGTTCTCTCTTTCCTTCAATCCAGTTGAAATCCAACATGCTGAGAGGAGAACCATGCTAGGCCCCCTAGAGTGCCCGGTTTGCCTGGAGTTCTTCAACGATGGATCGCACACGCCCAGGCTCTTGTGCTGTGGACACACCGTTTGCCAGTTGTGTGTGGAGCGCCTCGTCGTCAGCTCCTCGCTGCCGAGGTTTCGATGCCCGGAATGCCGAGCGCTGTCCAAGTGGCGAGGAATCCACCACTTTCCAAAGAACTACATCCTTCTCCACGCTCTGGGAGGATCACTCTCGACACAACCAACAACATCGACTTTAATTTCCCCGCCGTCGCCACCAGGAAGAACTGGAAGGATTTTCTCACTACTCTTGCAGTCACCGACCAACTTGTTCCAGCTTAGAGGTACGCTTGTTCTTGTGTGATTCTTTCGGTTCTAGGATCTAACTTCCATTGTTTCATCCATCCATTCCAGGTGCTAACGTTCCTGGTGTTTTGGAGCGCAAGCTCTGGGAGCTCGGGAAGCTAATCGCCGCCAGCGTCGTCTTACTCGTCTTTCTACCGATCTCCATCCTCCATCTCTGCTTCTCGTGGTGGACGGCACTTCTCGGGTTTGTGGTGTTCTCGTGCTTCTCCATCGGAGTGGTGGGGATTGCCCTTTTTCTGCTCTTCCTCTGGTGGACACAGAGCGTTGTGCTGACACTTTACAGTTTTGCGAAGTTCTTGTTCCGGCCGAGCTCGTCGGAGCTGTCCAAAACGTATAGCTAACAGGGACGAACTACTCGTTTGCGAGAGAAACAACGAGACTGTAAACAATGAAGCCTGGTCTCGGGCTCTTCTTCTATAATATAGCAGATATGCAAGCTCACTCGTGCTCGGAGACTTTCAGAAAAACGTCTTGAAGTGTCGTTTGCTCGATCTGCCACTCTCGAATCCCGTGCTCGAGTTTGTTCGCATCGTCTTCTAGCAACTGGAACAGATACTTTAGATCGAAGATCTTGATGGAAAACTTGCGAACTCGGCGCCATCTATAGAACGATGGACGTTAGAACCAAAGAAAAAGAAAAGCACCAACACTTACGAGTAGACAAGAGTGGCATCTGGAGCAGCTCTTTTGATCAGCGAAGCAATTGTCTCGGAGCTCTCGTGGTCATCTTTCTGCATCACAACAGTGAGAGTGTAGCCATTACTGTAACGATTCTTGAGATGAAGTGGAGCTCCAAGGCACTTCATTTTCCCATGAGCCATGATACCAATCCTGGTGCAAAGAGTATCAGCCTCTTCCTGCATAAAAGAAAGTTTCTGAGAGTCCATCGAGAGCTGGAAAGTTTGCTTGATTACCATGGAATGTGTTGTGAGTAGAATCAAGCGTCCAGCATTGGATTGCTTGTTTACAACATCCCAGATCGTTGTTCTACTTACAGGATCAAGGCCTGGAAAAGAAAGCTGAAGCATTAGTGAAAGCTTTGAGAGGATGATTTACCGGTTGTTATTTCGTCCATGAGTAGAATCGAGGGACTCCCAACGAGGCTAACACCGAAAGAGAGCCGACGCAGTTGACCTCCAGATAAGCTCGACGCTTTCTTGTGAAACGAGTCGCCATTGAGTGAAAGCTCGGCAGCGATTGTCTGAATGGAAGCTCGAGCTTGCGCGGAACTCAAGCCTTTGATATAAGCGTATATCATGAAGTGCGACCACACCTGGAAAAATAAACAAAGCTAAAACTGAAGAGGAAAAGAGAAAGCTTTCTCTTACCGAGAGATCCTTCCATACGACATCCGATTGAGGACAGATGCTCAGCTGGTTGGGAGAGAGCTCGTTCTTCCCGGTAATTACTTTACCTCCAATCTCTATAGTTCCTGCCGAGGGTGCGAGAGAGCCGGATAGCATCGAGAGTGCTGTAGTTTTCCCTGCTCCATTTGCTCCTAGGAGTCCAAAGATCTCACCATACTGCAAGCCGAGCGTGAGATTGTCCACTGCTACTTTGGCTCCCTTCCCGCTCGAGGCCGGATAAATCTTCCTCAAGTTTTGTGTCTTGATCGCCAGTACTCCAGGCTGAGCGTTTCGAACTTTGTCCACCTCCATAGCAATGTCTTCGGAGTCGGATGTCCCATCTTGTTTTGCTTCCTCGTCCAAAAAGTTATTTTCCCTCGTGAACAATCTAGAGAAGCACCCGAAGGGATTGAGCGACGCTCTAGCCTGGTTGACAAGCACTCCAGCGACGTATAACAGCGTGCTGCCAAGAAGAAGTACCACAATATCCGTAATAAGCTCGCCTTGCCTCACTCCAGCAAAGAGAAGATAGAGAATTCGAGCCAAAGCCAGGGGTGGAAAGATGGCGGCTGCAGCAGGCATGGAACTTTGATCCTTGTACTTCACATTGACGAAGACGCAGCCAGCAGCAGTGATGATGATCCCGATCGCAACGAGCGACGCGGCTCGAACGCTGCTGAAAAACCCGGCCGTGAAAGTTGACATGCCATTGAGAGCGTGAGCCCAAGCCAAGATGATCAAAGCGGACATGAGCGGATCGGCGTGGACGAAGCTACTTCCGACTAGTCTTCCAATTACGAAGAACACCACCCCGTCGATCACTGAGAGGATGAAGTCGTAGAGATAGTTTCCAAGCCAGTACGCCGATGGTTTCATCCCAGCGATCACCATCAAGTGGAGGAGTCCAGTTTGACGCTCCATGACGAGCCTCCGGACGTAGAGAGGGAAGAAAGTTGACAGTCCCATGATGGCGAAGAGGAGCGTCGCCGGGTTGTAAACACCATCGTCCTGTCGGTTGCCTGCGAACTCGAGATCCGGATAAACTCTAAGCCTGGCCGTGATCGCTGGAGCATTGCTGTCAGCCGTGGAAGCTAGCCCGTTGCTTATAGCATTCATCGCGAGGAAGGGAGCTACTGAGGCGACCATGTAGGAGGAGGTCGAGGATGGATCGGTGTAGAGCTGAGCGAGATCTTTGTAAGTGCTGCTGCTGCCGGAGAAGCCACACAAACCAGACGTTACGTTTCTCATGCGTATCCAAATCCTTGTTGCGTCGTACGAGTGGAACCTGGATTTGTATCTCACAGTAGCTGCGACATGACGATCGCTAGAACCTCCCGACGAGTAAGTCGACCAGGCCAGGCCGGAAGTCGGGAACAAAGCATCATAAGTTGCGGTGGCCGTGGAGAGGTCTTCAATATAGACTCGATCGCCGTCACTGGCTCGAGCGTTGGATGAGCAGAACGGAACTCTGACTCGGACAGATTTTCTCTGGAGATCTTGCTGTCCGGATACGAACAAAGCATTAGGATCTGGATTCTGAATTTGTTTGAGCGCCACCACCGTAGACTTGTTGCTGCCAGTGAAAGTATAATTGAGATCGAGGTCGCCTTGGGAAGAGTACCATACCACCGGTGTCACTGCCACCCTCGAGCTTGGATCTAAAGTCGAGTTGAGAAGCATTGGAGCGAGAGCTGAGGAGAGAGCAGTCCACGATAGATCAATGTGGAAGAAACCAGCTTCAAAGTTTTGAGCGCTGCAGTAGCCACTGTCAACCAGATCGCTCCTTCCCGGACAGACGTTCTCGGAGAAACTCTGGCGTGTCCCGGAGATCGATCCTCCGAAAAGCTTCATGAGTAGCACGTATACCACGAATGTAAGAAAGTAGAAAGCGAAGGCCTTCTTCTGTGCCAAGTTGAGCTGAAAGTTTTTGTATAACACCGCGCGTATCTGCGATCGGAATAACCCAGCGTTGCTCGTAACTGTCGTTGGAGCTGGATCGTTTTGATTTTCCCCATTGTTTACGTGGTTCTCACCACGGACTTGAGTGTTTGGAGGCGGACCAAAACTCTCGGTGAGCTCTTCGTAACTTTCGTTTAAAGGTTGGCTTTCGTGGTTCTCATCTTCTGCGATGGAGTCCATCATAGCTGGAGCTTGCTCTGCCAAAGCACACGTTAAGCACACCGCATTTGGTACCTTGACGGAAATCCCAGAGCGCGTGTAGAGAGTAACAACGTCGGCTCTTTTCACCCCGCACATAAGGCACAGCTTCTCAACATCGGGACTCTCGTTCTCGTTCTCTTCAGTCACTTGGTGGTCGTTTCGAGCGCTGAGCCGGAGAAAAACTTCTTCCAGGGTTGTGTTGGAGATACCCCATTCTTTGAGATATTTGGACGAAGTCGGAGGCTCGCTTTTCTCTCTCCCGGGTAGCCTCACTCTGAGCTCGGTTAAAAGTTTTGGAATGGCTAGTGCTGTGTTGTGGTTAAGTGAAACCTTCAAGTTTCCAGCCGCGGACTGGACAATTTTTGATCCCGGAAGAACGCGTTTGACAATAGCCTCGACTTCCGGCGCGTCTTCGGGAGAGGCTAGAAGCAAAGAGATCTGATAACCAGAACCAAACTCTTTCTGGAAAGTAGTAAGATAAATAAGGAACCAGCATTGCCTGGATCAAGAAAAACACACTGACCTTCAAGAATAGAGATGAACCAACGGCTTTGAGAGTTCCTTGGTGCAAAATTGCGATTTTATCTCCAAGAGCGTCGGCCTCCTCCATGTTGTGTGTTGTTAAAACCACTATCTTTTCTTCTTTGACCTTCTCAATGAGCTCCCAGATTCGTTTCTTGTTTATTGTATCAACGCCTGTGGTTGGCTGCAACGGAAATCATCAATCCTGTCTACTTGGACGCAAAAACACTTAAGCTTTTACCTCGTCCAGGAAGATAAGTTTACGACGGTCACCCAGCACGGACATGCAAACTGATAGCCTTCGCTTCATGCCTCCAGAGAAGGTAGTTGTCATGTTTTTACCCTCCTCTGAAAGATCCACTGCTGCAAGAACACGTTTGATTTCTTCAGCAGCGTACTTCCCGTGAAGACCCTGTAGAAAATATGAAAAGTAAAGATTGAAAGTTTCATCTTGGGAATGAAAACATTATATACCTGCATGGCAGCACACACGTACAAGTGCTCTTCCGCGTTCAGCTCATCCCAAAGAGCGTCAAACTGAGGACAAATTCCACACACTGCTTGAATCTGTGCCATGTCTGTTGAGAAACTGTAGCCTCTGAAATAAGCTTCTCCATAAGTTGCATCCGTCAAGCCAGTTAAAACGTTAATCAGAGTCGACTTTCCAGCACCTACAAGAATTACGGAAAGTCAGTGAGAATTAACTATCCATATTAAAGTGCGTACCATTGTGGCCAAGGAGAACAAAAACTTCTCCGTTGTTCATTGTCACCGAAACTTCGCGTAGAGCAGTTCCACGTTTGTAGCTCTTTGACATTTTTAGGATTCGCAAAGAGTTTTCTTGCTGCGACTTTTGCCTCTCTTCAGCAAATGTGTCACCTCGAGTGTATGATCCAGCAGCCGCAGTGTATCCCCAGTATCCCCTTTGAAAAGGAAACCTCCAACTTCTTCTTCCGTTTGTTCTTCCAGCAAGAGCCTAGAGCAAAATAACCAACTTATAAAACACAAAACAATGGAAAAAAGAAGGAACAAATAAAAACCTGTGAAAGGTACCATGCTAGTGGGACGCTGACGATCCAAAGACCAAGCATCAGAAACACAGAAGCAAGAAGAGATGGTGCTGAATATACAGTGGCCACCTCGCTGCCGGACTTTAAATAATGCATCGTAGATTGGAGATCTATCACATATTGTCATGTTAAAAGAAAATCATGAGGGAAGGACTACAGCTTACCATGGAATGAAAAACTTTTCCTGCCGTAGATCGTGGTTGCATACATTTCTAGAACTATCCGTCCGTAACTTATCCACGGAAACCAGAAAATAACAAACTCCATGAAGTGAGTAGCTTTGTGAGGAGCCCAGAATCCACTGTAAGGATTGTCCATTCTCACGCAATTCCCAGACACATCAACGCCAAACCTGTTATCACCAAACATAGAAAGGATTAAAAACGACAACCATTGCACAAAAGCAAGAACTCACATGCCCATGGTCAAACTAGTAAGGTTCATCGTCATTGTCGAGAAGAGTATCCCCAAGAAAATCAGGGACGAAACTGTCATGATCCACACGGGCTTTGTAAAGAGCGCCGCAACAATCAGCGCTACCCCGATCATGGCTATTTGAAAAGCGTAGAGAGTTACAAAAAGCACCTGGGAAAACAAGGTAAGTTTCGTTTGCAAGAACTCAAGGATAAACTTACACCAAATGAAGTGTATTTGAAGGCGAAGAGCTGGTGTGATCCCGAAACGAGCTTCATGATAATCACCGTAAGCAGGGAACTCACAAACGAGAGCAAAAGAAACGCGATCGTCCAAGAAGCAATGTGTGCGCTTTCTTGCAGCCCCATCTGACGTAGTTTTCCAATCAATCGCTTTTGTTTCTCCGAAGCAAGGATCATTATCACCTGAAAAAAGAAAAATTTACAAACTCGTAAAAGTATTCTCGAGGAAAAAAAGAAGCTTTGCATCATACCACAATAGTCGAGATCCCAACTCCAGTTGCTATCAAGGTGCCTCCCATGAAACCAATCACGACTTGAGTTCTCACCCGATACGTAGGTTCGTCACATCCGGTCTCTTGCCCGGCACCAACATTCGATTCTCTGGAGATTTTCTCGTCGCTTCTAATGTCAGTGAAAGCTCCAACCTGCGTAGCAAAGTGTTACAAACAAAAGAAACATAGAAAGCAATGCTCACTTGCAACGAGAAACGCTGTTGGCCTCGGGATGATGTCGAAATAATAGCAGTATCGAGAGATTTTTGGAGTGTGAGCAGCCTGCCAGATAGACCTTGTGACTTGAGAAATGGATCCAGTTTCTTGAGAGCACCGAATCCGTAGGCTCTCGTGTAGCTTCTGTTCATCCAGACATCATAAGCGTGGAAGTTGTCCGGGAAAAAAGAGACAGCGAGATCGACATGGCCGGGATTCTTCCACATAAACTCGGACATTCTCTGGTTGCTGGGGAACTCCACCACGTCAACACCATACTCAAGGCCCACCGAGTTGGCCACCTAAGAACAAGATCAAACTAGCTTAGCGAGATCGAGGAAAGAAAAAATGAAAGAAAGGACAGACTTTCACCTGTTGCATGACGACTTTCGCGTTGTTTCCAGCGTCAGAAACAAATCCAATCGTGATACAGTGCTGGAGAGATTGGGACGAGTTCGGTGCTGAGAAGCTCTTGAGCTCCATCCGGTTTCCTCGAGCATCCACAACAACGCAGCGAGTCAAGCCATCGGGAACGCTCTGGAGCCGGTCGTCGTTCTTCAAGTCGGAGTCATCGAGCGCAACGGTGGAGAAGAGGATATAGAGTACTATCACCGCGAGGGGAGGAGCAAACACATAAGCCGCGAGGGAGATCTTCCTGTGGAGCAGCACCTTCCAACACTTTCGGGTGAGCGCAGCAAATTGCAGCCACCAGCTAGATCGCTGCTGCTCAACCATCTTCGCCAAGAGAGTAGAATTCGCTCACCAAGCCCAAAATCGCTAAACCATCCTCGCGAAATGGAGTGGAGATCGCTGCTCAGTGAGCTAGAGCTCCGCCGTGTTCCATACTTTTTGAGCGCTCTAGTTCCTCCTGTCGCTAGGGCAGCAGCGTATACGGACAGGAAGTGACGGAGTGGACGATTTTCCATAGTCAAGCCAAAAGCCTCGCGAGACCAACAAGGAGGATTTCCAGGGCGGCAATGATCTGGAGTAGCTCTAACACACCTGGTTGGAGAAGTCGTCACCAGCATTGCCCCTATCGCGCAAAAGACTCCACCAGTGCCACCATAGCTACAGCTTGTACTGCGTCGTCTTGACCTAACGATTGTGGAAAACTTTGGTTTGCAAAGTTGCAAGTGGCTGGAATCATATCCGATATCTCCATGAATTGTGGAATAATAATGCACACACAATAAAATTATAGCCATAACTATATTCTTAACATTATACCAACATAATCACAAATCACCCGATTTTTCCGCCTTTTTTATTGTATGAAGCGCATTAGAACCTTCCAGGGGGATCTTTTGTCTGCCAGAAGTCAACAAGTGTCCCCCCGCACTATCAATGTGCCAAGCGCCAGTTGGTGGGGTTCGATTGGTTGGAAAGGCCAAAGGTAAGAAAGGACAAGAGAGGTACTTGTACGGCCGTGGCCACGAGTGAAACCTGGACCACTATTCACACCGTCCAACCGAATATACCTACGTGTCGCCTACGATTGATATGGTCAAACACGGAATTCTCCCCAACGTAGTGCATTTAATGGCTCCACGCTATAGCTTTGCAACACAGTTTGAAAGAGTCATATTAATCCAACTTTCATTTGGTATATAATTTAAGGCTTGGCTTTCTAGTGTATTGTGGATTGCTTCTAAAATTGAGTCTCTTCACAATTTCTCCCCTCAAATTCTTCCCTCAAATCGCGAGTGGCCGGCTCGAGAGAAAGAATTAAAGCTTGTAAGCTTCAAACACACATCCAATTTCTTTTCTAGGGGTTGTATCTTCACTGTAGTTCTTCTTTCCCCGGGCATCCAGAGAAGAAGAAGGGAGAAGATGGTCTCAATCTTACGAAGGAGCCACAGCCACCATGATTCCTTGGATCCCAACACAGGCTTTACAAGAAATCGCAGCACAAGCTACTTGCGAAGGAAATCCTCTCCACCATCGGATGTTCCAAAGGGATCGTTGGCTGTTTATGTGGGCGAGGAAGGGAGGAGATTTGTGATTCCAATTTCTTATCTCAACCATCCTCTCTTCCAGGAGCTTCTTAAAAAATCGGAGGAAGAATTTGGCTACACCCACTATGGGGCAATGCACTTGCCATGTAACATTCTCGTGTTTTACAGAGTTTTAGAGAGGATTGAGAGTGAAATATTGTTGCAACGAGTGAAATTTCCCAGGGGGCCAATTGGTCTCACAGTTCTCATGTGATATAAAAGGAAAATTAGAATTGCAACATTTCTACAGTGGTTTGGAGTTTTTTCTTATTTCCTTGCAATCAATTAGAATTTCCATTGCAGCATATTGCTCATCATCACTGACTGATTAGCTGAAAACAGAGGAAAACTTTGCCAATCTCACCAGCTTAAAAGATTTGATGGCCGTGGAAAACAAGAGATTTGATCTCAAATTCTCCGAAAATTCTCCCTTTGTAGATCTGCCCTAAATTTTCAAAATGTAGGGCTTTCATGCGGGCGAGCGCGTTGCTCTTCCTTCGATGGCGGCAGCTCGTGCTTTGTGTCTTTGGCGCCCTCCTCCTCCTAATCTTTCTCTCCTCGATCTTTCCCTCTCGCAGCCGCGGCCACAGCAGCAGGAGTGTGGAGCTTCTTCCAATCCTCGGGAGCAAGCATGGCAGCGAGTTCCTCTGGCAGATGCCGCCGCGACCGGCTCGCGCGATCCTCTTCCTGGCTCACGGCTGCCACTGCAGGGCCACGTTCTTCTGGGACAAGAGCCCTAATTGCCCTCACTGCATCGGTCTTCCAGAGGATCGCCTCTACGTTCTCAAGGCGCTGGAGTCCAGGTATGCCGTGATCGCTATCTCCAGCACGAATACCTGCTGGGATCGCCAGGCCGACACGGGGAAAGTGGTGTCGATTCTCCAGGGCTGGATCCGCGAGAACCGCCTCGATGGCCTCCCAATCTTCGCATTGGGTGCCTCCTCCGGTGGCTACTTCGTCTCCACTCTCGCGCTCCGGCTGCGATTCAACGCCACGGTTTTGATGATCTCCGAGGGACACTTCGAGGTGATGGATTTCGATCGCGACTATCCGGCGACGCTCTTCGCTCACATGCCCAGGGACGAGCGGCGAGCGATTGGAGTGGCCCGGTCCATGAAGTTGCTGAAGGAGAAGGGGGTGGGGACTGAAGAGATCCAGTGTTTGGCATTGCCAGTGACGCCTCAGCTCTTGAGCGACAGGATTCCCGGGGTTGGTGATGAAGCTTCACGAAAGATCTATCAGGCGCTCAAAGAGGCGGGGATCCTAGACGAGAACGATTTCATGAGGAGCGATGGACGGAGGTTGGTTTGCCGGGCTGTTCTCGACCGAAGGAATGCTTTTCCTGTGAGCCTGAAGAAGTGGGAGCATCACATTCAGGAGGAGCTCAATGCAGCTTATGCGTACCACGAGATGACTAGTGTGCCACTGGAAAGGACTTTTGACTGGTTTGCAGACCATGGCAAATAAAGGTTCTTATGTAAAACATACTTATGATCTAGAGTTGCGAAGAAAACTCTGGAACCTATCTTTCTTTTTTACCTCTCGTGTCACAACACATCCCTTGCTTGCCTTCCAATCACAACATTAATCTCTGCCTCATCTCAATCGGATAGGTGGCTGTGAGATTGGAGCGTTAATCTGGTTGGAACAGGGACCAAAAGTGTTTGTATATTCAAAGTTTACCCAAAAATAAAGTTGATTTAATTGCCTGGCAGTCGAGAAGAGAAGGAAGGATGTGCGTCAATTTTATAGTGACTCTGGGAAAGGTGTGCATGGCTTTTTATGGTCTCCCTCGGACTTGGGCGACAGTTAGAAGGTAGAAGGTGACGATCCAACAACCTGTTACAAAGAGAATTCCATCTCTTCTTCCTTGTAGTAGCTTCCGTGTTACCTTAGTAGCTTTAGCACGTCTCTATGATTTTGGAATCTCTCCGGAAGTCTAAATTCCATCCAAGCTGTGCCTGCCATCAAGGCTGTGGAGAGACATACCTGGCCTGTGCCCTGAGCCTATAGGACCGGTTTGAACGCCATCACCGCCAAGATCCTCCCAAGAACATACTACATTTCATCGAAAAAATAAAGCAGTCCAGAATATTTGAAAATAGATCTCAACGGTCATCTTCACAACAACGCAGAGCACTCTCATTGATCAACCCTTCAGACTTTGCGCCTCTAGGTCCTCAGGCCATGGATGCAAATCTACTAGAGATGTTTTTGCTTAAAATATAAAATTAACTCGGGTAATTTTTATCAGTTATTTTTTCCTGGGCTGGAAATACAAGGGCCCCTTTGTCATTCCCACACAACAGAAAGGTGGTAGGCACCCGGTGCGGCATTTGCTAAATATTTGTAAGACTTATGCCCCCATGGGGCAAATGCTGGGGCGAGAGACAAACAGTGCTGGGGTTTGCGCTTTGAAAGGCAGTAAGAATTGCGGAGCGAGGCAGCTATAAAGAACTCCTGGTAACATTGTGTGACCAACTTAGCTATGAATTTTTCTGAACGCATTGTCGCCCATACATTGTTGTGTGATGCCTTGAAATGGCTTCACATTCTTTGTACTTTTGAAAGGAATATGCAAATGCAATAACAACATTGTGTTTGGATAGATGGATTGTGAAAAAACACCAAAGATTCATTCGTAAGAGAATACAATTCCTTGCCAGGAACTCAAAAGCACAGCCATTTTTAAGATCCAACAACACCGAGAAATACATCAGTCATGGCGTACTTCCTTGCTTGGACCTTGCACTCTGGGAGATCAAGCAATCCCTCAAGGATCAAGCACCCAAAGGAGGCAGAGTTTGATGTGTGTCTGGGTCGTGTCAGATGCGTATTGTTCGACGGCAACGAATAAGAGCCTCGCATACACCGGACACATCCATGTGCACATGCCATGCAAATGCCAACACTCGGCATCTGCTACTCACAAATGCCCCAAAGCACCACATGTATGGGGTGGGGTCTAGTGGTCTTTTTGCCTGAAATAGGAGAAGCTCTGGAGCACATGATATATTTAGCTCAGTAGCTGTCTCGTTTCCTGAGCTGGAAATAACAGGCCCCCCTGTCATTCTCGTGGAACAGAAAGGTGGCAGGTACCTGGTTGCGGTATTTGCTGGGCACTGTTTGTAAAACTTATGCTTTCTGGGGGC